ACCACTACCACTACCACTACCACCCCTACCGCTACCGCTACCGCTACCGCTACCGCTACCGCTGCTACTACTGCTACTACTACTACTACTACTACTAGTCCTACTGCTACTGCTAGTGCTACTACTACTAGCACGACGACGACTACTACACTGCAGCGGCAAAACAGAAACACTATTCGCTTTGTTCGTGTGGTGGGCGGCAAGATGATGATCGTTTTGCCTGTTTAGGGGGGGGGCAAAACGACCGGTCGAGACCGAACCAGAAAGACCAAAACGACCTGTCGTTTCGTCCTTTTGCATTAGCTTACGGATCATGGTGCAAGCGCTTGACGACTGCTACTACTACTACTACTACTACTACTACTACTCCTGCTACTACTACTACTACTACTACTACTACTACTGCTACTACTACACTTCTAACTACCACTGCTACTACGTTTGCTTCTGCTTCTACCTCTACTTCTGCTTCTACTTCTACCTCTCCCTTCGCATCTAGTTCAAGACACATGGCATAACTATCGTCCTGATCATGGCCACGGAAAGAACTTGTCAACGACATGTGCAACCTCCTCAGGATGAGATCTTGCAAAATACGGAGTGGAAGGCCAGCAATGCCCGCACGCGAGATTTCGCAACGGGTGCGTACCACTTGCATCCTGGCTTGGAAACAGAGCCTGCTTCTTGCGCTACGGTTAGGACTCCCACCGCCCTCCTTGCTTTGGTCATGATCGCCCTCGGTTCGGCTTTTCTGACTTTCGTTCCAATATCCACTTGAGCCTTATTGCGCACTGTCGTTCTGGCCGCGGATCTAGCAGACTGAAAGCCGCACAAACGTCGCATTCGGCTTCATACCCGAATCTGGCACGGTCACTCTGACGTCTCTGAGAATTTCAGGAAGTACGACCAGCGGGGCAATATTCGCTGGGAAGGGCATCAAGGACCAAAATAGAAGCATGTCATGTTAGGGACTGCTGACATCAGGCGAGCGATGAGCATGCACGCACGCGAGTTGCCGCAGTTCTTCTGACTGATGCCTCATGTTTTTGTCACAGATCGGCGAGTGTCCTGCCAAACCAGCGAGGAGGGAAGTACAAGCCCGGGATATCTCCTGCCATGGACAAGGTCATTCAGAGGCTCTTTGTGGAGTATGGCATCGAGGACCGTGATCTCAATCTTCAGTTCCTGCAGATTTGCGATCTGCCGATCACTAACTGGTCGGGCCAGTGCTGTGGCAGAGCCCCAGGACAGGACGTCAGGAGTGATCACGAACTGGTACCCGGATGGCCAAGGCCATCCAAGCAGTTGCAAGCCGGCTACGCTGCAAATGCCCTCAATCTCAGCGACGGGAGTTGGGTCGCATCTCGTTCTCCACTTCCTTGCTGTGCTCAACTCGCACTCATAATGTAGAACGATCAGTTGTGTTAGTTGTGTTGTCTCGGTTTCGATTTGCTGCACAAGCCGTTTGCACCTAGACCGTGAGCCCCGAAATGAACTAACGAACGCTCTGACTGCTACAGGCAACCTGGGAAGCCACCGTCACGACTGCTGGACGGCCCTGTTTAGCCTCCTGTTGGCTTTTGTAAAGGTTTTTAGCTTTAGGGTCTAGGGTTCAGGGTACTGTTGTTGACGAAAGTGTTGGAGTTCTCCTGCTTGGCCATGCAGTCAATAGGTTTGCACTTCCGGTCGCTGGCAGATGTCTTGCTATTGCATGAATCCCAAACGCAAAGAAGGGTGCGCAGATATTTAAGGCGGGTGTTAGGAGTTCACCTTCTGGGGCTGAGGCTTTATTTAGGATCTTTTGGGATGTCTGTAGGAGTTCACAGTTGGGGCCTAGCGCGAACATGATGGAGGTCGATCGCTATATAATTACGAGGTGCGGTCTTCTTTGGCGCGTGTTTGGATTCACCGAGCGAGCCATAAAGCTCTTTTCTCGCATGCAATCGAACCGCAGATGTTCACCTCGAGTTTGTCCTCAAGTATTTTGCAGACAACATCGAGACAACATCGAGTGAAGGCTTTGGCCACGAGCGAATCCTCACAATCGACAACACACCCTTGCAGCTCGGCATCAGATCGTCAGAGAATGCCATCGTCTAACTTAGTCATGAAGGCTGCCGCACCAAGGCATCTAACGAATCCTGATAGATCCGAAGGTGCTCATTGAAGGGACCATGGTGCAGTTGCTAAGCACTCGAAGCAAGTGCAGTCGGGTGGCAGTGTTGCTCATCATCAGAAGAGTTGGATTTCACGGCGTTTGGCACTCGAGATCTCAGCGGTCCAGCGCGGTGTGAGAACTGGGTTTGGGGTGTGTCTTGCGAATGATATCATGCCGCGACAGTGGTAGCTCGTGGTAGTAGTGGTTGTAGCAGTGATACATTAGTCGTAGTAGTAGTAGTAGTAGTAGTAGTACTAGTAGTAGTAGTCGTAGTCGTAGTAGTAGTAGTAGTAATAGTAGTAGTAGTAGTGGTAGTGGTAGTGGTAGTGGTAGTGGTAATGGTAGTGGTAGTGGTAGTGGTAGTGGTAGTGGTAGTGGTAGTGG